TAAGCTTTTGTAGAATATTTGGGCTCAAAGGAATGAGAGAGATTCTGGATTAATGTGGTGTCTTCCTTCAGTCTAGAACACTGATTGCAAGTACAAGGACCTGGGATAATTCAGACATGTGGGGCTTTGGCATCTGTTTAATCTCCATATAATTCAAGCTTTAACTTCAAAACTATTCCATTGCTGCCCAAGTGCAGCATTATTTGCGGTGTAGATCCTATTCTATACAAATCAAGCCACTGAACGGTATTCTACTCCCACTGAAAGACAGCAGTCACATGTCATACTTTAAAAATGGTCTTTATAAAAAAAAAGATGTCAAAGTAAATTCCTAGAGGACCTTGTCTCCTTTTCTACACTTGAGCTTTCAGTTGTGTAGTCTACAAAATTAACTTCTTAACCAGGCCCCAAGGTGTTTCATAGATTTAAGTGTACCTTTAACAAAGGTAATGTTTTTAAGTAACCAAGAATAAAAGTAACATTTAGAGAAATAGAGCTAAATCCTATCAAAATATCCTTTATATGTTGAAGAAAATAATTAGGTTAATTGCTCAATTGATTACTTAAGCTGTAACATAAACCAGAAGACACAAGGCCCTCCAGGAAAAGAGTTTGAGACCACTGACTTACAAATGTATTGTAAGAATACAGTGCCACCTGTCTCATAGTACTTTACACAGAACAACCCGTCCTATCAAATACAAATTAAATGATGTTACGTAAGGTGTCTTGGTTACATATTAATCTCTTTGCAGTGTTTTTACACAGGAGGGCAAATTCTAATCACACCTACACATAAATCTCCCTCCCGGTCCGCCAGCAGCTGCAACAGGCTTCCTTCCCTTCCTTCACCCCCTCAGCTGGCGTCCTACCAGGTGCCAGCGTCGGCCCTCCTACCCTCCCCCCCCGGCTGTTCCCCTGGCAGCTCGGCCAGTCTGGAAACCTGGGACTTAGAGAGTCTTCCCCAGTGCTGTCCTCAGAGTTACCCCCACCGACACTAAGTGCGTCCCCTTAGCTGGCCGAGTGGGGAGAACCACACAGGGACAGATCGGGGTTCCACTTTCAGCCCTCGCCGGAGGCGATGGGACCCCCTCCCGTCAGCAGCCCCTCTGTCCTGCTCCAGCTCTGCACCTCCTGCTATCATCTCGGGCCGCCACCCTTCTGTGTCATTAGGACCATCATGCACCTCTTCCGCCGTTCCACAGGAGCCCGCCTGTGTCAGTGGGACCATCATGCACCTCCGATGCCCGCTCCCCACCCTCCTCGTCTATTTCAACCTCTGCTCACTGCAGGATTAGGCCTCTCAGCACACAGACCCCCTCGCAGCTTCCGGACAAACCCACCTCTTCCATCTCCCTGATTCATCACTTCCCTGCTCCCAGAATTGACAAGCCGGCGGCCTAGCTGCACTACATTCCCATCATCATCATCATCATCATCATCATACGCCACATTATCCCATCGCTTAAATCTGCAGGCCAAAACACTCCATTGCTAACGCCTTCAAAACTGAAGCCTCCCATCCCTAAATCTGGGCACCTCCCGGGTGAGGCGGCGAGAGGAAGGTCCAGTCCATCTTGCCATCGACTGCGCTAGCAAACCGACGCTCTGGAAAGGCAGCCGCGCGAGCTCCTCGCAGTGGAGGCCTGCAGACGCCCGAGAACCCCCCCCCGCGCGAGAGGAAGTGCTTCACAGCCTCAGAGCTCGTTCAGGCCTTCACTCTCCCCAGGGTCTCTCATGAGCTGTCACATCATCTGGTGGTTATGCAGGTGGGACTTTTGTATAATCCAAGCTGTAGCAAGCTGAATTTGCACAGCCTGCAAAGAATAATAAAATGTTTCCCATTGTGATTCGCCCACATCACAGAAGCACCAGAGTCCGGTCAGACTTAACGTCACTGCTGCAATAACAGGTGACCATACAGCATTAGAACTTGGCTCCTGCAGAGAAACACAAAGTTCACAGAAGACAGCAGTCAAACTACTCGTTGCACACTGGAGACCCTTTTCCTCAGAAGGATAGAAGTCTCTTAAAACACGAAAGTGTTTTTAACTTCATTTTGACAGCAGAAATGTTAGAAGCACACTAGCCAACCCCAGTGCATGTAATTCACTCATGTCGCTATTCAAACATAAACAGTCTACCATTCTGCTGCGTGGCTATTTTTTAACATACGCAAAAAGTTTAAAACCACCAGGTCAATAAACAAACATTAGGTTCATCGCCGTTTAATATGCGTAGGAAATATGCATTGGTCTAACTTTCCATTCAATTTCTTCACACATTCCCTAAAAAAAGATTTTTTTAAATAATTGCTACTAGAAAAAAACTTTAAATTCTGAACCTGATTTTTCTAATTGTATTACCATTTTAAAAATGTGTAAAGAATGAGCGATGGGCTCCGAACTACTCTTGGAGCTCAGGAAGGCATAAAACTTAAACGTTCACTGGACAAGAAAAACAAGATAGACTACTGAAGTCTTGAGAACAAAATAGCCTATCAAAGTGTTTTAGACATGTGCCACAACAAAG